CGCTGAGCCGACAAACAGCTGATCAGCTGTTTGTAGGCTCAGCGCGATAGTCTGGACGCGCAGATGTCGACATCAAAGGTATTTGTTGACCAACCAGGTAAACCAGCTGATCAGCTGTTTGTCGGCTCAGCGCGGCAGCCATGTAAATTTAAATGAAGCGGCGACTATTTAAATCGCCGCTTCATTTTACTATGTCTGGTAGCCTAATCTACATGCCTCTGGCGACAGAGGCATGTAGTCTAGACGTACCCTACATGGCACTGCAGAGACAAAATGAGACAGCTGAAGCAGATCGCATTTTTCTTTGCGAAAACTACTTAGCTAATAACAATCGTCAAGTGCACTAAAATCAGAGCCTTATGTTTTATAACTGTGTAAATTGAAGAAAATTTTGTTCATGTAAATTACCAACACTAAAATTTCTACATCAATCAAATGTGTATCAGCAGAGAGTATTTCATCCATGTACTGGAGGATAAATTGTGATTACAAGCAAAATAAAATAAAAAGCTAAAAGCAGTTTATAATGCAATGCCTATAGGCTTGTTGAACATGTAATCAAAGACTCAGAACTAGGGCCTGATTTTTAGAGATACCAGGCCCTCCCAGTTTCCAATGATTTCAATGGGAATTTTGGACACTGAACACTTCTAAAAACAAAGGAACAAAATCCTGCTGACCAGAGAACTTCACACATCAGCACTACCCAAACTAATTATTCTTCTATGCCTTCATTAATATAAAAACAAGGCATATCATATACATTAAAACTCCAAAACACTATATGGCATTTTCTCTTGGGGAAGGAAAGAAAGGAAGAATCACATGTGATAGATTAGTCACCTTGCTTAATGTTGGGCTCTCAGATATCATGGTGAGGGGGTGCACTATAAAAACCTCAACAGAATATATTCTGATAATACTAAGGTTGTATAGAGAGGGTATGAATCTGTTAGCTATGCATTCATACAAGTAATCCTTATTTACATGTATAACCCTATAACAATTACTCAAAGGGTTTGTAAGATTGGGCCCATATTAGGGGGTCAAACATGCTTCCCCTTAGGTGATAATTCCTGTTCTTGCAACTGTAAAAGAAAAGTGCACATTTATAAATAAAGCAATGTGTGCTTTTCTTGGAAGAAATACTCTAACTTTATATATGCATCTAATCAACTGATATGTTGAAGTAAATGTATCAGAGGTCTGCAAACTATAGCACATAGGAGCTTTGTTCATTGGCATGTGGCTGGGAGCTCTGTTCTGGCCCACCAGCAGAAAGCCTGCACTGCTGCTTGAGTCTCACAGCTGATTGGCTAGGGGCGGGGCATTGTCAAGCAGCTGCTAAATGAAGCTGCTTGGTACTTGAAATGGAGCAGCAAGATAAGGAGGTGTTAATGGCCTAGATGTACAAACTCCTAAAGAGACAAATAGGTGCCTAATGGGATTATTTTCATCTGACTTTCAATGGGAGTTAGACATCTGGGGTTTTCCAGAATGCAAAGCAGGTTAGGCATGTATCTGCCTCTTCAGGCAGCCAAATACCTCTGTTTTTCTGAGTCTAGATCTAAAAAATAAAGCTAAGGCTCTAATGGAAATTGTTAAAGTATAACTCATGATTTTTCCCTGTTACCAGAATTGGCTGAAATATGATTACCTATTTTCACTGGGGGGAGAGGGGGGAAGAAATGTATTAACTTATGAATTCATTTTCATTTCAAAGTGTGCCAAATGGATCTATTTATTTTATTTTTTTCTCCTTTTTCAAAATGTCCTACATCTTTTAAATTTCCTCCTGCCCCCCCCAAAGAAGTTAGTGAAATTTTTCCTTTACAAAAAGCACCTTCAAAAACTAGTGCTAACTAGTTATAAAAGACTTTGAAGTTTGAGATAGTGACATCTTTTACACAATAGGAACCATTTTGACAATACCGACAGTTTGAGATGAGACAGTTTTGTTTTAGAAAGAGTCCTTTCCTGCTCCCTAAAAGAAAAAAAAACACTTTAAAATGTTCTACCAGCTCAGTGTTACACTCAGACACTTGGGTGCATCTTCAGCTCCCCTTAGTACTAACAAGAGGTGTGTGCTCCACACCTTACAGTAGCGAGTTTTTAACTGTAGTGCAGACCTACCCTCAGCACACTACCTCAGCTAAAGGTAGTGTGTGTGTATGTCTCCTTGAACTGTAATTTGCACCTCCAGCTGTAGTGTAGATGTACCCTTGGGGGGGTTACCTGAGCTCACTCAAAAAGTCTGTGATGGAGCCAAGAATTAAGCCTGTGTATCCCAAAGTAAGAAAGAAAAAGATTATTTTAAACGGGTTTTTTTTGAGCGTTGCAGATATCTAAAACTCTGGTCTTAATAATTTTTTTAAAAATCTGTGTTACTAAAACAGTAAGATCTGCATCAATGTATTTATTAATGAAGCTGCTGTAAGGAGAACTATTATTGACTTTAAAAAGTATCGATGGCATGTAGACCTGTAAATAGAAGTGAATAAGTTAAATCTCAGCACAGTACTTCTGAAAGGTTGCAGACCTATGTGCTATATTGTATTCTGAATGCAGCTTAAGAACAGCTGGCAGATACATGTTTTTATTCAATTCCTTTTGCTTTCAGTTCTTCTCGAACACGTTTCAGATACTTAGGATCAGGAAAACCAAACCTAGAGGAAAGAGAGAATACTTGTTTGGGCCATTTACATTATGAAACAATTTCCCAGTTTTACAGTATCTTCCATTAAAACACTTTTACGAACATTTGCTTTGTGAAACAAATAGTCCCTCATTAACAGATGAGAAAAGTGAGACACAGAAAGGTTAAAGCTTAACATTTTAAAAGCGGCCATTCATTTTGGGTGCCCAAACTGTCACACCTTGAGCTTGATTTTCATAGCTGCTGTGCATCTAAAATTCCACTTGTAATCTATGAGAACTGTGGCTGCTTAGCAACTCTGAAAATAAAGCTCTAAAACGAGGCCCAATGCTCAGCAGACATGGTAGTGCCATGGGATGAGGTTGCAAAAGTGGTGTCTTCCCACTCTTCTGCTCTCAGGTCATCCAGGAAACAGTGTGAGTGCTAGTACAAATTAGAGCATCCTTAGGGTCACTAAGTAATGCAGTGGGGCTCTTATGCTAACTGGAGGGAACACACCCAGCTCCCTTACCAATATTTATGGATATTTCAGATGATTTACAATAAAACATTTCAATTATAGGACCTTATTACAAAACTACCAATATCTGACAGCAGAGCCGGCCCACAACATTTTGGCACCTGAGGCAGGGAGCTCAAATGACACCCCCATTACCTGCTCGCTTGGGCCAAAACTTGGGTCTGGCACCTGAGGCGGCCACCTCAGTTCGCCTCGTGATAAGGCCAGCCCTGTCTGACAGCATGTTATATTATAACTATCCAGTTATATCATTCCTTTGAATCTTTTGTCAAATGATTTAACACAAAACCATAACTTGATGTGATTATATTTAACCATTAACATTATAATTTTTGAAACCTTTATTAGAAAGCTGAATGTTTTTTGGGGAGGGGAGAAGAAAGTCATGTGATAGAAGCTAGGGGAAAGCAGGAGGTGTTTCATGTCAGCAGGACCTCAGCTCTATAATACACGGAAACATGTTTGTCCCTGCCTCAGCTTCCCAAGAATGAAATCCTAAGTTGTCTCTAGGGTGGGGAGCCGGGGGGGAGAATAATTTTTTACCAAGGACCTCTTCAGAAATTCTTGAAGTGACCCTAGGTCACACTGGAATGGGCAGGGCCTCAGGCGGAAGGAGCGGGGCCAGGATACTTCCCTGCTTCCCCACCCACAGACCATGCCTGGTCTGGCGGTGGGGAAGCGCGTGAAGTCTTTACCCCTGTCCCCAGAAGTTCTCCCTAGGCGCCCATGCCCCTGGCGCTGGGAGGAGACTTTTCACACTCCCCCTTCTGCCCCCAGGCCAATCAGGGGTTGGAGGATGGGGAGCACACAAAGTCTCCTTCCGCCCTGCCAGGAGCACGTGGCACTTCTAAGTGCCGCACGCTCCTGGCAGGGTGGGGGCAGGGCAGAGAAAACTGTGTGCGCTTCCCCCCGTCCCCAGTCCCTGACTGGCCTGGGGGTGGGGGAGTGGCAGGACCTCTGTGGGCTGGATTCAGCCCACAGAGGCCCTTTTGCCCACCCCTGATCTAGGGTACGTGCCCGCATGAGCGCGCACAAAGAATCAGAATCCTGCCCACCTATTCAGCAGAGCTGCGCAGCAGCACGTACCTTCTTGGAAGGTAAGCTACTGGTGGTGGGCTCGGTGGGAGGACAGAGTCACATGGTGGCTGCCCAGCTGCTCCCGGGGTGGGCTGCATGGTAGGCGGCAAACCCATGTGCCCAGGCTGGAGCAGGAGTTGGCTCCAGCTCCGGTAAATGGGGCAGCTGTCCACCATGCGACCCTTCATCAGGAACAGCTGGGCAGCTGCCTTGCCTGTAGCTCTAGCCTTTTCCCAGGGATGAAGCTGTTGCCAGGGCTGGCCACAGCTCCAGCCCTTTAGTGTGGGGGCTGCCTACCTGTTCTAGTGGCCGGGGCCGCTTCGGCAGCTGGGGCCACGTGGTTGGTGGCTGCTCCAGGGACTGGGGCTGCTTGGTAGACGGCTGCTCCAAGGGCCAGGCTTAAAATACTCACGTTTCAGGTCCCCCATGTATGCTTGTTTTATGGTGAATATCATTCCAGGTGATAACATCCGTTGCACCAGAAGTACGTGATTGCCCCACAGTGAAGATCAATCGTTGGTCAAAGGCCCTTCTAAGCAGCTTCAAAATTTCTCTTCCTTCCTTGTTGTCAGGTAAGTATGCTGTTCGACTTGTTGCATAATATGGTCTGCCTGGGTTTGGATGGCTTTTCTGTTTTGTAAAAAATACAATGAAAATTCACTGTATACTCAAGGCACTTCATTTTTGGCTTGTTTTTTCCCCCCTTGGAATTCATCAGTGTTTATTACAATAAACAAAACAAAACAAAACAGGGAGTAGGGTGGCAGAGGGGAAAAAAATCAGGAAAAAGCAAAACCAATGGATGGCACAATGCAGTGGGCAGGTTAACCGGTTAAACATATAATTTAAACAGTTAACATTTTAAACATGATTTTATATCTGTAGTCTCTGCAACTGGGCAGTCTCAGCTGATGGGACCCAGCTCCTTGCCCATTTCTGAAAAATTCCTGGGTTCCAAAAAGCCAAAGTTTGGGTAAAAACAAAACAAAACAAAACAAAAAATATCCCCGAATAATGGCGTTTTCAATATCTCAAAATTTTTCAAAGAAAATCAGTATATAACAAAACTAAAGGACCACAGGTATACCAGATATACTAAAAACATATGAAAATTAATCTGACACCTCAATTTTTGCAATGCTATTTATTCCCAGCTCTCCAAATCCATTTTCTAACTCCCCCAGTTTGTTCTAAATCACATAGCATGCTTCAGTTTGACTCTGCCTTTTTTATTTACACATCTTTCACTTCTTCTCGGGTTTTCTGTGTATCTGAAGTGTCACTATTCACCCTCACTTTCAATAGTTGTCACACAACCTTTCTCTGTTAGGACATCTTATCTTTTTTTTTCTCCCTGCCCATCCCCTTCTTTCAGTTTCTTATATTTTCTTGCACAATTCATTCATCCATGGCTGTTTCTAAGTATCATATTCTTGCTCTCCTAGCTCTCTGGAACTCTTTCTTTCCCCCTTCCTCTTTTGTTTTTTCTCATTGATGTTACTTGAAAGGATGATCTGGCGAGCAGTAGTAATTAAAGAGTCCTGATCAATCTATTTTGATAGTCTCAAGGGCTAGCCGTGTTAGTCTGTAACTGAAAAAGCTTTAAAAGTTTTTTGTTTTTATTTTGTTTGGTGCAGTTTAAACAACATAACCCAAAGCCCTTAAAATAATGTCCTTTCCCCAGTGCACTATACACTTAATGATTTTCCTCTCACAGCACTTTTACACCAGTATCACTTCACTGATTTCAATGGAGTTACTCCAGATTTACACCCACATGGTGGGAGTATCAGGCCCACTGAGTATAAAAGTGAAGATTACCATTTGGCTTTATCTTTCATTTTATTTATTAATATTTGATATTTTTGTGATTCCTTTGTAGCTGTGACACAGCATTGGATGTTAGCATTGCATATTAATGGCACATCATAAAGAAATATAATAAAATGTGATGTGATAGAAGACTCTTAGGAAAACTGAGATTTGCAATGCATTGTCAGAGCCCCGGAGCCTAACAAAAATATTGGAATAAATATCTGCAGAACAAGAAAAAACACTCTAGAATACAAGAATGGGAAAATACTGGATTCTATATTTGAGTACTGTTTAGTTAAACTTTTACACACTTTCAAATATACTTACAGTCTGAATCCCACCTCGCATATTATAATCAATCTTAATAGTCCCACAATGAGGATAGCCAGGGAGTGAATAATTCATATTTGAGGAAGTCATTGTTCCATCTGGTTGATTTCCTTTTAGGAGACCATAAAATGTATTACAGACAGGGCAGACTGGCTTATACTTCATTGCCTCTTGGATGCATACTTTGCAAAATTCATGTTTGCACTTTAGTACTTCTTTTTGATGGATTTTATCCATGCAAATAGCACACTGGTCTTTGGCTTCCTCTCCTCCTGCTATCTGGGGTCTAGATTGTTCTTTGAGAGGAACCCTATTCATTTTCTTATCATCTGCATTCCAGGAAGTTCCTGAAGCACTTGCATAGCTGGCACCATAAGTGAGAGCTCTCTCTCCTTTAAATGATGCAGGGATTTCAAAGTTAAAAGAGCGCCCCATGTGCTTTCCATCAGCATGCAGATATGGTAAACTTTGTAAACTGAGTTTCTTCCCCTTTTCCTGAATTGTAATACCTGCATTTTCCTGTTGTAGATTATTAAAGGACTTGGTCAGCTGTTTTTTCTCTTCTTCATTTATTGCTGTGGCTTTCTGAAATGCAGTAATGAAGCTTTCATAAGCATGTGCAGACATATCTAAATTTTTGGTTTTAGGTTTGAATATGACAAATACTGTCTGACTCTGTGGATAGCCCTCGGTCTCCATTATAGTATCAAATTTTTGATTTATTGCTTCAATTTCTTTGTTGAATATTGTTTCCAAGAGTTTAAATCCAACAGAATCAACTTCAATTCCATTCCTAAAGGAGTAAGCTTCAGATGTTATTTTCACAGGAATTTCAACTGGGCTGTTTGTATTTTTTTCTTCAAGAAATTTTTTTGCTGCCAAAATCTCATTTGCTGGACCACGCAGTATTACTGTATTTCCTTCATTTTTGGCAAGAAGACGCCTAAACTTAGTATTTAATTTCTGTAGTGTTTCATTTAACTGGGAACTGTTTGACAACATAACTTTTTCTTGTTTTAAATCTGCTATTCCTTTCTGAAAATCACTGATAAAAGACTGACGAGCTTTATCTGCTAATCCAGACTTCTCAACAGATATGAAACATACTGAAGTGAGTCCACGATCATTCTCTTTGCTTTTTATTTTTACTTTAAAATGTTCCTGTAATTTTTTAATTTGTTCTTCAAAGACATGGTTAAAGTATTCATAAAGAGCTGATGGAACTTCAATATTGTTCACTTCCTCCAAACCATTCCTAGTCATCTCTTCCAACTCATTCTTTCGTTCAGAGTATGAAAAATCAGTGTGCTGGTCATTTTTTATAAGGAGATCATCAAAATAGTGATATACTTTTTCAATATCTTCATAGTCTCCTTTCACTTTCTCAATGCCATGGTCACTAGATTTTTGTTCTATTTTTAATTGTGGGCACAGAACGATCACTTGTTGTCTTTGCTGTTTAGTGAACAGGTTGGTATTCAAGGTTGCAGACACATGGAGAAAAATCTGAAAACGAAAGAACAAGAAATATGATTCGTAGCTTTCTTAAAACTCTGAGCTTGTTCTTTCAAATATTTAATACAGGCTGAACCTCTCTAATCTGGCACTCTCTGGTCCAGCAACATTGGTGGTCTGGTATGATTTTAGTTAGCCAGATATCCACTTACCATGCATGTGGCCAATTTCCCCAATGTCCCAAAAAGTTTGTTTATAGCAACCAGTCCTGGCTCAGTGTTCTGTGCTGTTATTTAGCTCTAATTTACCCCAAATGTTCTAAGAGCCTAGTAAACAAACAAACAACCCTAAACTCTACCAAACCCTACCAAAACAAAGCACTGCATTAGCTGTCCAATTATTCTCCAGAGAAGGTAAGTGAATGAACTACATATCATATGCTTCAGGGGGTAGCCGAGTTAGTCTGTACAGGATAAACTCCTGTCATCTGAAAGAGTGGGCTGTGCCCACAAAAGCTCATGATACCTTCTGCATGTTTTGTTAGTCTATAAAGTGCTACCAAACCATTTGTTGTTTTTTAAGTTTATCACATATCATATATTACCCATGTTGCCTAATGTAGTAATGGAATGTGCTCCTATTGTATGATGACAAGTATAAGAAACTATTATGGAACAGACTGATTATGTTTATTAATTTCTTTGAAAAGCTTCCTAAATGTGCCTCAGTAGCAACCGAGGCATACAAGCTGATTCTGAAAAAAATATACATGTCCCTGTATTTCAGGGGATATGGAAATGTCACAAACATAATTATGACTGCAAATCCATACCATTGCATTACAAGTCACCATGCCATACTCTATGTTTATCAGATGTATGGACATGTCTCAGTGTTTACTGAACATGGAAATTTATAAATCTAATGCGGAGTGACAATTTCTAACTCTTCTATTCTGGCTAGGTCAGTGGTGGGCAACCTTTTTTTTCAACTGAGCCAAATCTCGCCAAAACCACGATTGAAATTTATTTTGAGAGCCACATTTTTAAACCCGAAAATACATAGGATGGTACACTGTTTTTAGTTTCAATAAGTTTTTATTGAGAATATTCTGCATGCAAGTATGCCTTTTCACCACTCTTGGGTATGTCTACATAAAAAAAGTATGCTTAACTCAAGGGTAGCTAATTTAGGACAAAACAGTGAAGATACAGCAACACAGCATTTAACTCTTATTAGTATACTGTTAAAGTCTATAGGGCAGCCTCAGATGAGCTAGCACTGCTAACCCAAGTTTAAAGCTAAATTGCTGTGCCTTAGTGAGCATGAGTTAAAACCCTTTTCCTCAGCAGTGAACTGTTCTCTTCTGATTCCCCTACATCTCTAATCCTCCATCAATAGGTCTTTCTGAAAATCCTCATCCCCACTCCATCTTTCTGTGGAAGTTGTATAGGGCTCTTCATCTATACCTTATAGCCAAGTAAACTAAATTGCAAAGAAGTTCAACTACCATCTCTATGCTGCCAGCTCAGTATTTCAGATCAGTCTCCCTCTGTCCAAATTCACATCTCAAGCTTGAAATTCCTAACTATAAGGTCACAGAAAGCAAATAAAACCTTAAAATGTTCAGGCTACAGTTACACATCACAAAGCAGCACAAAAGGAACAACCCCCTCCCAGCAGGTCAGTTTTAAATAAACAAAGCTTCCCCAGCAGTATCTGCAATCCAAACATGAGGAAGTGCATTAACTCACTGGAACAATTACAGAAAGGCTACAATAAAAAAAACCAAATCCTGCAACCCAATCGCCCTATTTTCATTGTTCAATTGCAAGAAGTGAGTAACCTCAAGGGTGAAGACTGCACTGGATTTTTAGAGAGCTTCCAGTTTCCAGAATCCCGGCTGTTCTTGTTAACACTTCTTAGAGGTATCTGTGTGTTGTCGGGTCTCTGGCTATCATGATAAGGGACCTTCTGCACTGAGTATCTTTGCACAGGCCCCTCCGAGTGATTACGATAAGAAAGAACTAGTATTTTACAGACTGTTTAATTCACACAGAAAGAAACTTCTTCTCTCATTTCAGACCAAGCAAAAATTCAGAATGAAGCATCGCTAAAATCCACCCCTCTACTCTCCCGGGCCGTTTATCTGCCCAGGAGTGTTTTACACAGGTTCAAACTAAATGCTCCAAAATGCTTAGCATAACGTTCAAAGCGCAACAGCAGCACAGGCCAGCCAGGGTGGGGGTCTCAGCTGAGAAAAGGCTCCGCAACAAAACAAACGAGCTGTGAAGCAAGGAGTGAGACCCGCGAGCAAAGGCAGCCCGCCCCAAGAGACTGGGGTCCCAGCACCAGAGACAGGCAGCTCCGTGTAGAGACCCCAACGCCACCACCCCCCGACCATACAATGCAGACACCCCGACTTCCCGCAACGAAAAGAAGTGTCTGATCTGCCCCTCCTCCACGCGTCCGCACTGTCCTTTCCCGCACCCCGCCCTTCCTGCCACTTCCCCGTCTGCCCTCTCCGTCCCCGCCCGCCTCACTGACCCGCCCCGTCCTCTACCCCTTCCCAGTGCCCCTGTCTCGTCCACTCCCCCGCCCCGCTGTGTGTCCGGCCGGGCGCCGTGCTGCCCCGGGCGCCACCCCCCCACTGCCCTTGCCCCCTCCTTTCTCCCCACCCGTCCCCCTGCCCCTGCCCCCTCCATTCTCCCCCTCCG